CCGACCTAAGTCATCATAGATAGCACTACGAGTAATAGTATAAGCATCAATATTGGAGTCCCTCTTCTCGTGCACGAACTCAACGCTAGCGAAGGCTGATCTTCTCGCGTTAATTTCTTGAACAATTTGCCCATATACTCTCCGACTGCCTTGAAGAATATTCTTCACGACGTTTTGGTTGTCACTCGTCAATCTAAAGTTTGCCACTTAAATATCTAGAGCGAGGAACATACCTTCCCTACAGGCGATAGACTCCATCACTTCCAGATCTGATATCCCCCTTAGCATCAGAGCCGACGCTCCCAAAAAACGACCATTCTCATCTCTAGCAATTGCTGCAGCCGATACTTTGAGGTCGTTCTTGGAGAGTGCAGCATCAACCACCATGTTCGTTTGATCGTTTCCGTGGCTTATAAGCTGACTGATGCTGTTTTGTTGTGAGAGAAAAACACTATATCATAGCTGATAAGATCAAACGAACATGTTAAACATTTATCTTAACCACCCCGGCAGGGGGGGCAATCCACGCCAGGCTCCTGGGGGGTATACACGAAGGGGATGCCGGCCTTTGCTTTTCTTGCCCAAGATCAGCTATGAACCTGTCAATAAAACTGTGGGTCGACAATGGGCTTTGGAACTCATTCTCGTGAATTGCTTTCCGACGGACATACCAAATAGCCCACAGAACCACTGCCACTCTAACTGAATCCGCTTGTGGGAGGATCTTGAATATCGCAGCTAGCCAAGCTTTGGCATCAGTCTCTGTAACTCCGCAAATTGCTTCCACCATTACCTCGTTTTCAAGGGCCCAAATACACCTTGCCATGGTACACTCTATCAAGGAGTGTTTCCAGGAGTCTTGCGATCCACAAAAGAAACAGGCGCTACTCTGAGCCATGTTCCTGTGGTGCAAAACGTCTCCAGAAGGGAGGGAGAGACGTGCAAGTCGCCAAAGAAAGATGCTGATTTTTTGAAGGAACTTTCACCCTCCACAGAGATTTCCACTCCTCCGTTACCGCTTTGTGATCAGACCGGCCGGTAATATTCTGTAACACTGCCTCATACTGATCCCTGCGGTGGACCAACATAAAGTATGCCGACCTTACTGACAACAGACCCCTCTTATCTGGATGCCACGCCCAGAAATCATCCTAATTCCTGATGCAGATTGGTATATTAGCAATCGTCGCAGCATCCATAGGAGTAAAGCATTCATTCAGCAATTCCAAATTCCACACTGCCTCCGAGTGATTTATAAGCTCTGAAACACGCTGCGGTGGATTAGGATATGTCGTCCTGATAGGTCTTCGTAAAGTACGTGACGGTAGCCAGTTCGTCGTCCAAACCGGCGTCAGTTCCCCTGTGCCAATTCTCCTGATCAAGCCTTCTTTGAGTACCTCACGACCATCAATGATGGAACGCCAGACTCTTGAGGGGGACGACCCCAACTCTGCTTCAAGAAACTCTACATCAGGAAAGTAAACCACCTTGAGGACCCTCGCACTCAAGGAACGTGGCTCCTGCAGGACTCGCCACGCTTGTTTGGCTAACAGAGCTAGATTGAAAAGTTCCATATCCCGGAATCCCAGCCCACCCAAGGACTTTGGCTTAACCATCGAGTCCCAGGCCACCCAGGCTGTTCTACCACTTTCAGCTCCGCATGAGATGGACCCAGACGTTGATGGTCCTGCTGCATAAATTCCAACTCCTTGTTTAATCTCCAAAGCTCATCACGGACACTGCCAAATGTGGTCCTATTCCACTTAACCAGGTGATTAGACACCTCCTTTAACTTTGCTTGTAGCTCAAGCGTAGATGTTGCCTCACCATCTCTTCTCCAGGACTCAGCAAGTGTTTCAGAAAAATCCGGGTGAGTTTCCCACATCTGCTCATACCTGAACCGCCTCTTCTGCTGTCTTGATCGACCCTCAGATCGCCACCGCAACAGGATTGGGCCATGGTCCGAGGCCGCTGCAGTCAGGTGCTTAACTGTTGCATTAGGAAAACGACTGCACCAATCTGCATTGGCCAGGCCACGGTCTAAACGAGTACGGCAGTAATTACCTCCCGCCACCTTCTTTTCAAAGGTCCAGCTGCGACCTTCGTAGCCGAGATCGCTGAGACCACAGACATCAACCATCTCTCTAAAGCCAGAAATCTGAGCCCTGCTGCGCTCCTGTACACCCACATGCTCCGACTGATGTAGGACTTCATTAAAGTCACCAACACACGCCCACGGAAGCGATGACGATGCCCGAATAAATTTAAGCAAGCTCCATGTCTTATGACGCTCGCTTAACTGTGCCTCCCCATACACACAAGTTAGTCTCCAGGGCTCACAATCGCCCTCTTTTATCTGCCTCTGCAATCATCCAAACTCCATAATGAAGATCCTTCTCTGCGTACTCCCCCGCACCACACTCCAAGTGGACATGGCCCATCAAACCACAATGAGCACAGAATCGAGGAAGCTTCTCATACTTCACTTGGAGCAAAATTTTGGCCTGCCCTTCTGGAGCAAGAGTTTACCACCCTAATCAAGGGTTTAGCTGCCATCAGCTTCACCCGGACACGGTGAAAATCCCCCGTCCTCGAGGGCACCGCTCTCATCTCCACTTCGTGCACTTCCCCCACCTTTGCCGCCAGTTGCTTCACGATATCCTCAGTGCGGAACAGGTGGGGTATCTTGTGGATTTGAATCCAACTCCACACCTTATTCGGAATCACTTTGGGAATAGTAGTTGATCCGTCAAACTGCTCCAGCATCAGTGCATTGCCCCTAAAAATCCAGGGAGCTTCTTCCATGATTCGCTTCCAATCGCCCAAGCAAAACGCCTGGATCACGAACAAATTCTTCCCGATAGATCGGAAAGACACCTCCCTCGCTGGGTTCCAAGCCGAACGCATCGTCGACATCAGCGAGGTCACGCTAAAATCCTTCGATGTCAGGAGCTTCGCCGCCGCCATCCACTTCACCGCCGGGAGGTTGTCCCGGTCCGCCTTCGCCAACACCACGCCGTCCTTCTCCTCCTCGCTCAGCTGGAGTTTGCTGAGCAGTTCGTCCACCTCCAGCTCCACTCTGGACGCCCCCATCTTCAAGCTCTCTGCCGCCATGACACAAGCCTTCCCTCTGCACACGATCCTGCCGCAAGATCCGAACTGATGCTTTGCGCCAAGGCCGGGAAGGTGAGCTACGTCACCCCCTTGATCAGCCCGAGCGTGCCGCACCAGTAGGAAACGTCGCGAGGTCGCCGGACGGGAACAAGAACCCTCGTCGCCGGTATCGCCGCCGAGGTCGCCAGCCCTAGGTCATAGCACGTAGTAGTTAAATAAGTTGGACTGTGTCAGATTGGGCCCCATATCATTCACCCCAGGACGGGCCTCCATGAGCGTACGGGTTGTAATCTTTGTGGCGCGGGCCGTTCCAGTGACGGATCGTGCAGGAATAACGCGATCTGGTCCCAACCCGCTTCGGTAAAGGCAGGCAATGACGCCCAGTCGCCCACGGCCTTCGCACAAACGCACACGCACAAGATTTTGCAGAGGTATGGGCGCCGCGATAGCCGATAAGGACGGAGGAGCCGAAAAACTGGCACAACGGTCGATAGCCGCCGATAGAGAGTTGGGGACGGAGGAGCGGAAGAACCGGCGCAACGGCTATTTGGCCAGCATCCCAGCCTCTTCAGGTGATGAATATTCGCATAATGTTAAACCGAGATGGTCAGTATCAGTCATATGATGGTGATCACAAAACATGCATGTCCGATTTCTGGCCATTAGCGACCGAAAGAAAAACAGTTTTGATTGTGAAACCACTATTATAAAAATATATACGATTCCTAGTTTCCAACAAGCCCCGAACAAGGATAGATTCAGAGAAACATGAAGCACCAGCAAATCAGCAATAGTTGTTGCTTTCAGCAAATCTGTTCTGTCTCTTTTGTTTTCGTGCGAGCCGTCTCGACTCTTCTATCCCTAGCTACAGTTTGCCAAGGGCGACAAAGAGACGACGAGCGTTGACGGCGGCGATTCCTCCGGTCTCCTCGCCCTTCGGTGGCCGGAGAGGCATCGGAGTGGGAGGAGGACCGGGGAACCGCCGTGCGGATGTATATAGTATAGGTAGGTGTTTGTCTAGATCTAAGGTTCACTTGCCGGCGGTGGTCGTCGATGGAGCGAGGGTTACTCGGTGGGGGGGGGCGGCTTGCGGGAATAATGCCTCCAACTCCTCCTCACCCCGATGGTGCTCTACTCCGGTACCACCAACGAGTTCGGGAGCCTTTGTACAGGAGTCTAGGCCGGAGCTTCGTCGTCTTTCAGGTGATGTTGTTCCTGGCCTTTTTCTTCAAGGATGCGGGGTCTGCTGTGGGTGTTGCGGACGGTGGCCGGCTGGATCTGGCTCGTTCTTCCCTCGGCGGCGATGGTTGTCGATGGAGAGCTCAGATCCAGGAGTTGGAGCGATGGGCGACCGCCGACGGCTTCTTCAACTTCGACTCCTACCAAAGCCTTTGTGCGATGGAGCTTCTCCAGCTCACAGTGAGGCTCGTCTTCTTCGACGGTGATGGCCGGCGACGAGGAGGTCGACTGCGGCTGGTTCACGAAGGATCTAGGGGCATTAGTGTAAATTTTCTCTTTGTTAGGGTCCTTTGTGAAGTTTGGCTGGCACAGCTGCCTTTGTATCTCTACGTACGTTTCTGTATTCGTACAATTTGGTGTATGTTTTCCTTACCTAATACAGATGCGTATTATAAAAAAAAAACTATATCCCAATAATATTTGAACACGCCACTGCTATATCCCAATAATATTTGAACACGCCACTGCTTAATTGCTTATGTACATCACTTATTGAGAGAACTCACAACATTATGTACGATGTATGGTCACAGGACACGGGGACACCCGAATATGTAAGTCAGTTGTGATGAACCGCAGGGATAGGTGAAATGCTCAAATGGACACAACAGTTAATTGAGCATGAGTTTCGCCAATCCAGCCAAGCCCTAATTCGCATCAGCTGGGCCGTGGTAGTTTCTCCTCCTGAGCTGCGATTCTGGTGCAGGTTGCTGAAGGAAAATCTTAGTAGGATCATTTGGGTCAACATACCTGCGCACATATATCAACTAACATGAGTTCACAGCGGATAGCCAAGAATATAAGTTGTTAGATTGTGAGCACTTACGCATGACGCATCATGTCATCAACAGGAGTTTGCGCAGCTTGCAGAGGGTCCACACGTGGTGCCATGTTAGCAGCAGACTGGGCTTCAAACTGGTTGTAGCGCCGCACAGATGCAACCAGGTTCAGGAAGAGAGGAACAAAAGTACCACAGCCTCCGTCCTTGAACAAGATCTTGAAGGTGTGAGTTGAGTACAGGGCCCTGTTCTGATTGTCTGGAACAACCTGCATTGGAACATTCGATGTTAGTGACCGAATCTCAGATGTATTCTCTGCCAAGCATTCCATCATACTCACTGGTTCAACGTATCCAGAGATGTTGTTGCAGTGAAATATGGGCTGGTTGAACTTCTCACCGTGCACAAACAACTGCAGAGTTAAGCAAGGAAGAGCATTTAGACTGATATTGTGAAGAAACCATTTCTTCAAAGTCCCAACATGTAAAGTAACCCTGAATCAGGCAAAAGCACCTAGGCTTTTTTTAAAAAAAAAAAAAAGAACCAGCACTTGAGCACCTAACAAAATGTGCTGGCCACCGTGACACACGGTAGACACCACAACCACCAAGAATCACCATATAATTATACACTATATCGGTAGACAAAATATTCCCCATGTTGCTCGATAATCACCTAACACAGTAACAGCCCGCAAGCTCAAGTGCTCAACAAAAGCCAGGTTGCAAGATAAGGAAACAACAAGCCAAAAAGGCCTTCTAAATTTAGTAAAGAAGTGGCATACCAGTTGCAATTTCATTTAAAAAGCATATTGTAAAACCCCACATTGCACTGATATATAAACAATTGTTGTCCAATAAAATCCATCAAGCATTTGAGGAAATTATATTACTTTTGATGAGTTGATCGCTACAATGTCCTTGAATGTCTTTTGGATCTTAGTGGATGAGATTACCCATGTAGCAATACAATGTGTGATATTAGCAGGCACCACTTCTCAAGGAAAAGCCCTTTATAGCTAAAAACTGATTTGAACTAGATTCAACAGGGCCTTTCTTTTTACTCTTTTAGCTCATTCCATTTCTTTGTTTCACTTGGCAAGCAAGATACTACATTCACCTAGATGTTTGAGCACACATAAGCATCTGTCTTATAGGTTTTGCTTTGCCTCCACTCCTCCAGGCACTTTGGACAGGATTGGAGAGACTATTTTCTTTGTAATAACATACTAGTGAAATGCCTCCACTATCAAGCAAATTTTATTAAGAAAATGCAGTAAAGCTTAAGAATTAGGTCAATAGTACAAATCATCAAGATACAAAGATTAGCATATGCTGGGGACCTTTTCCTAGAACAGCATTACATACGACAGAAGGGGTGAATCGTCATATCGTCATATGCGCAACATTACAAATTAACAATGAACAGGAGTAGAACTTCAATGCTGATTGTTAGTGATTGTCGTATCATGGTCTGTCAATAGCTTTGGTGCATTGCACTTTTTTTCCTATCCTTTTTTGTTTTGTGCTTTTGCCCTTGCATTTTGTTCAAATTATACAAGAGCAGAAACAAAGAACCAACTTTTAGAATGGCATTACTTACCAGTGGCATATCAAAAGCAAAGAAGTTGCCAACAGGTTTGTTGGCAACAAACACCATCCTTATATTAGACAGGTAAATTGTGCCTTTAGTTTTCACTTGACCGCCAGGAGCTCTGATTGATAATAACAAGAGAAGCAGCATTAGGAAAAAATGGTTAGGTATGTTTGCCAAGAGCAACTATTAAAAAGATGAAGCTTCCAATACAAGCATAGGTTTAAGACTTATCCGGAGATTAAACCCACCTATCAAGTAAAGTGGGCAATGGCCAAATGAGATGGCAAATGATGCTCAATCTTACAAGTAAGAAGAAAAACTATTTTACTACTGTTTTTTGTACTTCTGTTGTAGCCTATGAAAGATTAATTAAATATCAACCATTAGAGGATAGACAGTTCCCCCTTTCTCATATAACAACAATTCTTCCCACCCAGCGCTCCAAATTCTCTAAAAAAGTAAATAGATGAAATCGTACAGATGATACTCAAATTCACATGGTAGCTTTACAACAACAACAACAACAACAGCCTTTAAGTCCCAAACAAGTTGGGGTAGGCTAACATGGTAGCTTTATTTTGCATAAACATATCGATGTAATATACCAACCAACCAGATTCGTCACCAGACAAAGGGCCGGAAGCCGGACCAATGACAATCCGCGGCAGGACCTGCCAAGCGGAAAACCCCTCCCGAGGGGCTCAATTCAGGTCGGCCACCACGCCACCTCTAGCGTACCCATCCCGCACCACCCTCGATGTTGGGCCGACTCCACGTCCCCTGCGATCCATTGTATTTGACTAAACTAGTCTCCGGTCATCCCTAAATCCCCATCCGGAAACCGGAATCCATTGTAATCGACTATTTTCCACCCCAAGAAAACCTAGAAAACTAGGTCTAGTAATCCCTAAATCCCCATCCGGAAACCGGAATCCCTATCTACATAGCAAAATCAGTAGGCGGGAGGGTGCTTACGACGGGATCTTGTCGACGTGGAACTCGACGCCGTCCCTGGCGAGGACGAACATCTCGCCGTAGAACGGCACCGGCATCCCGCTCCCAAACAGCTGCGGGTTCTCCGCCATCTTTCCCTCCCCCTCTTCGATCGATCGCCGAGTGGAGACGAAGAGGACGACTTGCAGATCAGCGGCGAGTTAGATTACGCGGTGATGCTTCGCGTGAAGGGGCGGTGGGGTCGGTTGCGTCGTGCTGTTGGAACCTGGACGCGTGCGCGTTGAGCTGACCTAGCTTTATTAGCTGTGCGCGTTGCGTTTGTGTGGAGGGTTCGCGGTTTCTCGTCGGGGCCAGAGCATTCCAGTTGGGCCCAAACCCAATTATGATGATCTGTCGCCTTCGTCTTCGCTGATCTAACAAAACAATTTACTAAGGGCTCAAACGCATGAATTTTACAAGAATTGTATAGAAATTTCACACTTAGCAGGATTCAGTTTATTTTTTCAAAAAAAAAACACCGGAGTTGGAAAAAAACCCGTGTTCCAAAGGGGCATAACGGCTAATCTAGCGTCCAGACGCCCACTCAAGTGTTCAACCCCCCACGTCCACTTTCGCTTCGCCCCACGCAAGACGCCCCCAGCGCCTGACCAGATCCGCTAGCCCTTTGGTGAGACACTTTTATTCGCCCCAGTAGCTTGACGTCCAGACCATACCACCCCACGCACACGACAAGCATGCCCAGCGTCCCCGACCACAGCACCCCGCCCCCCCCGGTGCCTCATGCTCTGCTAGGCCCCTGGCCACGCGCGCGCCCATCCATCGCTTTGCCCCCACCGAACAACATAAAACGCTTGAATAAAACACTTGCAACAACATGGAACAACTGCTGCAAACATAAGACTGAAGCAGTTGAAACATTTGGAACATATTATTGCAACATTAGTGTGAAACATATGAAACAACGCTCGAATAAAACAATTGAAACAACATGGAACAACTGCTGCAACATAAGACTGAAGCAATTGAAACACTTGAAACATATTATTGCAACATTTGTATGAAGCATATGAAATATCTAACATTAGAATGATTGCAACATACGTCTAGAAACAGGTAAAATATTTTGAACAAATGCTTGCAACAAGCCTTTAAAACACTTGCAACATCCTCCCATCTACTTTCGCAACATCCATATGATTCAACTGCATCATACCTTTGAAATGTCTGAAACAATTGAAACATACAAGTGCAACACAGGGGGAGAGAGCCTGGCGCGGGGAGCGCCATGGCCGCCGGATCTAAGGGCGTTGGGAGCTCCTTGTGGGGGAGGACACCGGTGTCGGGGGAGGGGCGCCACCGGGGTGGGGGAGGAGGACGCCAGGGTGGGGGGAAGGAGCCGTCGGGGGTGGGGAGGGATGCATGGTGTGGGGCAGGCGCCACCGCCGCCTGTGGAGGGAGCCGACAGCCTTTCGATGGAGAGGAGCGGGCCGCTGCCTGTCATGGAGGGAGTGAGCGATGCACACGATGGAGAGGAGCATTGTTGGTTGGGAGGAAAAGAAGTGTGTCCGTTCTCAACGATAGAGAATAGTTTTAGATGCACCATGAGGGGGAGTGGGCCGCGCAGCTTCGCAGGCCCACGGGAGGCGCGACCGGACAGGACGGTCGCCCGTATCCAATCATTATCGGGGGCATAAGCGTAATAAACTCTAATGTTTACCTGGGTCTTTTTCTTTGAGCCCTCGTATTTTAGGCTTTTAGCTTAAGATTTGTTTCTTTTTGTTTGGACTTCTGGTTGTTGATTATTTGATTTTGTCCTTTGCAATAAAATTTTAACTTCTCCCTACACCAAAAGTTAAAAATGCTCCTGGCAACATATTTTTTGTTTTTAGTTCATTTTATCGAAAGCTAGCTTTTAGATTTTCAAAAATCACTCAACAACTAGATTGCTTGTTTTAGTTTCTAGCTTCTAGGTGACAGAAGTTAACAAAAAGCTAAAACAGAGAAGTCCTTACGAGAAGGTAACCATTTAGGTTCAACTATGGATACATGAGGATTGAGTAATTTTTTAGAGTTCAACAGCGGAAGCGACGTCTTGTTCCCTAGATTGAAAATTGAATTTGTGATACTATGTAAGAGGAATATAATTGCGTTGAGCCTCTCGAGTCGTATATATAAAATTTACATGATTTTGGAGTTAAGCTGGCATAGGATCATATTTCCAGCTAACTCTATTATAGTCGTGATATATAATCTAACAGCATGCGCACCTAACCCTTAGTCATCTAATGCTAAAGAAAGATTTCAATGTGTTCATTGCTGCCTGAGGTTATGAATCGTAGTGGATTGAAGTGCAATCAAACAAGGCCTAAAGTAGAACTCTCAACGGTTTATTCCTTTCAGTTTGTTCAAGAAAAAAAAAACCAGAAGAAGCATGAGAGCTCTGCATTCATTTATGGAAGAATTGAGTGTGATAACAATGTGTCTCTTGCCTTGATCTCCAAGGGGGACAAACTGTACAGAAGGAAAAAAAAGAGCCATGCTTTTGGAGACGTCTAAAAAGGGATTAATGTCATCCATTCGTGCTGTAATTCAGTACTAGTAAAGTATCATAATCACAAAACTAATGTACTCATTTAAATAACCAGACTTCATCGTACTCAAAAGGACAACAGTGCCCGGCAATCACATAATAATATAATATGACCGCCGATATGGAAAAGACAGGAATCCGCAACATCAACAGCTAACTGAATACGGATGGTCTCATGTGCACACAGAGAAGCAAATAGAATCTGGCACCATGGAAGCAGGAACAAATGCACCTACACAGCTACACCTCATGAGATGAAGGAATACTACAATCAGGTAATTAGGCAACAGCAGAATTTCCATACTGATTTCCTATCTGGATAGGTTCATAGGTTCATGTAGGATGGCATCGAGCCACTAACGAGAACAACAGAAACAAGTTACGGGCTTCTTTGTATCTACAGTCACATTCAGGTGGAAGCTTGCCTTGTCGCTTGTGGTATGAATATGATACTACCCGAAGAGCAAAAATTGATTCTGGACACGAAGTTCTCCAGGGGCATATCCTGCGCACGTCGCAACTTATGACCAGCTCTGATGCAGACTGAGCCTCAATGGAAGTGGTCGTCGTGATGAGTATCATCCTGGTGGTACAGGTACAGGCCAAAACCGAACCGTGCGCAGGCTTTGCAGAATGCAGCTTCCTCCGCGGCGGCAACAGCATCTTCCCTGCGCCCCTCATGGACCTGTGCTGTGCCCGTGGCATCTCTGTATGCCTACACCCACAATGATGCAAGTACACTAATTAATAAAGATGTTTTTTCCAATGTATTCTAGTTGGTCTAAAAGAAAAAAAAAGATGATGCAGTTAGTGTGAACCATGTAACTTGAAATTGCCACTTTAAATTTGCATCAGTACAACAGGACTACAATGAAGGATGATAAAACAAATGGGTACTTCCATAGATAAAAAGTGAGAAAGGATACCTCTCCATCAGTTCCTTTAAGTATCACTCGATATACCACGGTTACAGTTCCATTCTCAGAATAAATAACATCACGAACTTCTCCACACCAACCTGAAAACATGAATTATCAGTGACTTCTCTGAACACAGACAGGTGCTTTTGCAAGAAACCAGCACATAGCTATACAGCTGCACAATTTTTTGAGAGAGCACATATGTTTGTTATTCCATTATCTCCAGTCATAACAGTTCAGATATCCAACAGACATGCATTTAAAACATCTAAGCAATAGTTTAACAAACAATGACTTAATGGGGTAAAACATTACATAAACATCTACAATGTCTGTGAAGTGGGGCAAGCTTCTTCAGTTCTCTAAAACAAGTGTGGCATGGTATAAGGCTATAAGCTAGTTATGTGCACAGCTGAGCACGAAATCTATGAACACACTAAATATCAATAACATGCATCCAGAACCCAAGCTTGAAGAACCTATGTTATATGATTAACCCATAAGCAAGCAATTAATAACTACTCTAAAATCAAGTGAGCATCCGATCAAAATTCTGCTAATTGAAAAAAAAAATAAAACGGTTTCAAATCCTAAAGAGAACTCACCTGGTGCATAAAAGCTAAGCATTCTGTTGGCATGGTACCTGCACGATCAAGATGCAATCAGTATCAGTATCCTTGAGCATGGCACATTCTTGCCTATTAGTTGAGAGATAAGCATCAGACAGATACTTAAAATAAGAAAAAAAAAACTTCTGGTATGTACAGAGAGAAACCATGTTAATACTTAGCACAAGTAGTGTCAAGTGTAAATGATTGTGCTGTGTGTTAATTCATTCTTGGACAGTCCCTTGTCATCACAACCAAGGACATATATACCTACAGCCTTGCATATCAAGAGAATAGAAGCAGTGTTGGATGACCAAAGTAATTATGCATCCAGCAAATACACACTCATGACAGAAGAAATGCTATGATGTAACACAAGACAGGACAACTGGTTCAGCATGGATAATGTGGATGTACATATTAACAACATTTTATCCATGTGTTACGAAATGGAAGAAAGTAGAATCATATACTATTTAATTTTACTGACTCAAGAGATCGATGGCTAGACCAATGATAAAGAGGTGGAACTGCATGACTTTATCTAATTTAGTGGCACTCTACAACAATAACAATAACAATAACAACATAACCTTTCAGTCCCAAGCAAGTTGGGGTAGGCTAGAGTTCAAACCCACCAAGAGCCCAAAGTCACGGTTCAGTCACTTCAATAGCTGCTTTCCAAGTACTCATATTCAAACATAGATCTCTAGGTATATCCTAAGCTTTCAAATCTCTTTTTATTACCTCCCCCATGTCAATTTCGGTCTTCCTCTACCCCTCCTCATATTATTAGCTTGGCTTAGGACTCCACAATACACTGGTGCCTCTGGATGTCTCTTTTGGACATGGCCAAACCACCTCAACCGATGTTGGATAAGCTTTTCTTCAATTGGTGCTACCTCTAGGCGATCACGTATATCATCGTTCCGAACTCAATAGTTGAACATGTCGAATCTTTGTAGGCTAACATTCTGCTCCATACAACATAGCCGGTCTAATCGCCGTTCTAT